AACAGAGGGATACAATCAAGATCAAGGGAGGTACTAATACCACTCTATTAAGCCTTAGTAAGGCCACACCTGGAATCCTGCATCCAGTTCTGATCACCATACTATAAAAAAAGTGTTGAGACTCTAGAAAGAGTGCAGAGAAGAGCAACCAGGATGATTAGGGGACTGGAGGCGAAAACATACAATGGACAGTTGCAGGAACTGGACATGGCTAATCTAGCGAAGAGAAGGAACAGTGAAGACATGATATCAGTCTTCCAATATTTGGTGGGCTGCCCCAGAGAGGAGGAAGGAGGTCAGGATATTCTCCAAAGCACCAGAAAGCCAGACAAAGAACAATGGATGGAAACTGACCAAGGAGAGATTCAACCTGGAAATAAGGAGGAATTTCCTGACAGGGAGAACAATCAACCCATGGAACAGAAGTTGCCTTCAGAGGATTGTGGGAGCTTCATCCCTGGAGGCTCTCAATGAGAAACTGGATTGTCATCTGTCAGAAATGGTGGAGGATCTCCTGCTTGGGCAGAGGGTTGGACTAGAAGACCTACAAGGTCCCTTCCAACTCTGTTAATCTGTAAAGGATGTTGAGATTCCAGAAAGGATTTAATTTAATCTGTTAAATCTGTTAAATTCCCGGAATCCTCCAGGCAGCATGGAGAATGTTGGATGCGTGAGGAATTCTGGGAGTCGAAGTGTGAGGAATTCTGCGAGTCGAAGTCCACCCATCTTCAGGTGGCCGAGGTTGAGACTCTGAGATAGAAGAATAAAAAGCAAGGGGTAGAGTTAGCCTTTCAGGATTTATACCTCGGCGATCCCTGGGGGTCCATAAGCTGCGTAGGGCTTTACTATATTTGGATCTTCTTGATCTGAAGTGAGTTTTTCCTCACTTTCCTTGGACGCAAACACCTCAGTGTTGTTTTCCAGCACTAGGGAAAAAAAGAAAATTTCGTTAAAGTTCCTCCATCTGTAGACTTCATCTCCCAGAATTCCCTAGCCAGCATGCTTTAAAGCAGGGGGGTCTCCAACCTTGGCAACTTTAAGACTTGTGGACTTCAACTCCCAGAATTCCTCAGCCTGAGCTGAGGAATTCTGGGAGTTGAAGTCCACAAGTCTTAAAGCTGCCAAGGTTGAAGCTGAATTCTGGGAGCTGAAGTCCACAAGTCTTAAAGTTGTCAAGGTTGGAGGCCCCTTGCTCTAAAGACCCTTCAAAGTTGCAACGGTGCTGGAAAAAAAGGACTTACATCCAGTCCTCGCATTTATGACCGTTGCAATGTCCCCATGGCCTTGCGATTAAAATTCAAATGTGTGACAAACATCCTGTATTTACGACGGTTGCGCTATCCCGAGGTCACAGCGGATCTTCCCAGCCGGCTTCCCTCAAGCCAACCCCAGAGGGAAAAGCCGGATTTGCTTAATGACCACCTGATTCACTTAACAACCATGGCCATAATGGTCCCAAAAATGGGCCTGACAAACTTAACAACCGCCATTGCGGTTGTGAATCGAGGACTACCTGTAACTCCAAAACATTGTTGCTTTTTGTTGTTATTATCACCATTGTTTGAGTGTTATGACTAATATTACCATTATTGAAGTCTCCTGCTTGAGCAGGAGGTTGGACTAGAAGACCTCCAAGGGCCCTTCCAACTCTGTTATTCTGTATTTCACTCTTTTTTTTTCAGTGCCATTGTGGCTTTGAATGGTCAATAAGCAAATGATCGTAAATTGAGGACTACCAGCAAGGATTGCAACCTGTTGCCTTTTGAAATCAGGCCGAGGATTAGGATTAGGGTAATCCCATGGGAGGTGGAGGCCCATTAACTGGACCACAACCTGGTTTAGCATTTTCCAAACCAGCTGTGGGGAGCCCCCTCACCCCAGAAGAATGAAATATTTTGGGAAATATATTTTTAAAAGGCATAATATTATTTTTCCCAAACGAAGAAATGGAGAAACATGTTTTTAGAGGCAGAAAGTCTTTCTTAATAGCCCGCAGCAGATGCCAGCACTTAAGGAGATAAAGAGCTCATTGAAAGAGGAAGCTGACTGTCTAGATGGCTCCATTCATAAGCAAAGCAAACCCTGCAGGCAGAAACCCATTCAGGACAGGAGATTAGTCATTAGCCACAATAGAAATCACCCAAAACCCTTTCAAAACACAAATCATTGTGCGCGCACATCCACAAACACACCACCGCATTTCAGGACCTATATAAAAATCCTGTCACTCATCTATCTAGTTGTTCCACTGTCCCACAACGGCACGCTGGCTTTTAGTTAGTTTTAGTTCGCTGTCATTGCGCCTCGTACAATGAAATTAAATGCCCTCTTCAGTGTACATTATAACTATAAAAATAAAACACAAACACACACCCTTCCCATTCTATACCAGTGTTTCTCAACCTTGGTGACTTTAAGTCCTGTGGACTTCAACTCCCAGTATCCATTTCTGAGGGCACACAAGGTGTTGCCCTGTCAGCTTCAGCACACATGTACGCCGGTGGGTGGGTTCCGGATCCCGTCACAACCGGTACTCTGCGATGGGGCCGGACGTCCACCTCGCGCACGTGCGCTGTGACGCCCCAGATGCTCTGCGAGGTTGCGCAGGCACCATATGCTGTGCACGCATACGCAATTGGCCCATTTCCCTCAAAAAGCGGTAAGGAACGTGGGTGGGCAGCCCGGCCCAATGAACTGCCATTCCAGTACGGTGGCTGCTGCTCCTAGTTCCAGTACGGTGGCTGCTGCTACTGGTTCCAGCCGGTACACCCGTACCAGGCCGTACCGGCTGGGACCCACCACTGATGTACGCCCTGGCCAGCTGGTTTCGGCCTTGATTTTCGGCCGCTTTCTGCCCCCCGGAAGCTTCAGAAGGCTTCCCTGAAGGCTTCCCAGCAGAGGTGGATTCCTACCAGTTCACACCAATCCGGTAGAACCGGTTCATCAAATCTACCGAACCGGTTAGAAGAGGTTCCACCAGAAAGCAGGTCACACCTACAGAAGAGGTTCCAAAAATTTTTGAAACCCACCACTGACACACACACACTCAGAGAAAGAGAGAGAGAGAGAGGGAGGGAGGGAGGGAGGGAGGGAGGGAGGAAGGAAGGAAGAAAGGAAGAAAAAAAGAAAAAAAGAAAAAAGAAAAAAGAAAGAAAAAGTG